CCCAGAGTGCCTCTGAGGTAATGACAACCATGTAGGGGCCCCAAGTGACCATGAAGGCGCCAATGACCACAAGAATGGTAATGAGGGCTTTGCACTGGTTAGCTGAATAGACCACGCCTTGAAAGGCATTCCTCCTGCTGCCTGAGGAGGAAGTGGAGGTACTAGAATTCTTCCTCCCGGTCCTCTGGGCATCCTCCTCCACAATGACCACAGAGCCACAGTGCACTTTTCGGGCCTTGACCCTGGCCACACGGAAGATGAAACCATAGCATACTAGCATGATGAGAAAGGGGAACAGGGCACACCAGATCTGCCAGAAGACAGTGTAGCCAGGCTCCCGGTGCCACGCAGCCACACACATCCACTTGAACTCATCAAACTCCAACGATGACCAACCAAATAGGGGTGGCAAGCAACCAATGAGGGAGTGGAGCCAGATGTAGACAAGAGCCATCACGGCTCGGTTCCCTGTGATCTTCATGGGGTACACCATTGGATACAGGACAGCGTAATAGCTAGAAAAAAAGATTGAGGGAGGTGAGAGATGACCTACATGGAGGCAGGACGTTCCACTTTCTTGGGTAGGGATTGTTGTACTTCTCCCAACTAACTAACCCTTGTGCTGTGAAGACTTCTACAAAAGACAACCTCACCCAATCCTCCCAGACAAGCAACAGGCTACACCATGTCACACAACTCTACACTATCAAGGACAAGGTCCTGTGTGAGGGTCAGCACATCAGAGCCTTCTTGTATTTAAGAATTCAGCTATGGGCCGGGCGTTGGTGGCGCACGTCTTTAATCCCAGCACTCAGGAGGCAGAGGCAGGTGTATCTCTGTGAGTTCGAGACCAGCCTGGTCTACAAGAGCTAGTTCCAGGACAGCCTCCAAAGCCACAGAGAAACCCTGTCTCGAAAAACCAAACCAAAAAAAAAAAAAAAAAAATTCAGTTATGGGGCTGGAGAGATGGCTCAGCCGTTAAAAGCTAGGCTCACAACCAAAAATGTAAGAATTCAGCTATCCTTGAGGGACATCCTATTGCAGATTCAGCCGTCCTCTTCAGGGACTGTGTTAGTTTCTTTCTACTACTCTGATAAACACCATGACCAACCAAAACAACCTGAAGAGGAAAGGGTTTATTTGGCTTACACTTCCTCATCACTGTGTACATCTGAAAAACAGAGACTAATAGGGCTGTCTCGAAGGCAAACTCAGCTAAATGTTGACAGTATAATAAATATGTCTGATTTGTGACAGTTATGCAACATGTGACAGTAAAAATCATGACCAATGCCGTTGTTTTCTGTACTGCTTAAAAAAAAAAACATTTTAGGCAGGATCACTTCATTGTGTAGCTCTGGCTGTTAGGGAAAGTTGGCCTTGAACTCACAGAGATCCACCTGCCTCTGCGTTGAGAATGCTGGTAAGAAAGGAATGCATTTCCACATCCAATTCATGCATCTTTGATTCCTGTATCTTTTCCCCCTTTTCTCCCCTCCCCTTGCCTCCCTTTATCGAATAGCGTAAAGATCAATTTAAATTTTTAGTCTAAACTAATATTTACTAATAAAAATAGCATCTGCCATTCACATATCTAAAGACACTAAATTTTCTTTTAATTCTTGGTTTCAGATTATTTTATTTTATGTTCCTGAGTGTTTTGTCTGAATGTATGTATGAGCATCACATGGATGCCTGATGCCTGAGGAGGTCAGAAGAGCAAGTCAGAGCCCCTAGAACTGGAGTTACAGACAGTTGTGAGCTGCCATATGGGTGCTGGGAATTGAACCTGGGTCCTCTGCAAGAGCAACAAGTACTCGTAACCACTGAGTCAACTCTCCAGTCCCAACATTTTGTTTTAATAATACAGCTTAGTCATAAAGATCTGGCCAAGCCACTGTGACTCCATCTTGTGTTGATGGGGGAGATGAGCTATTTCTTCAAGACAACCAGGTCTTGGAAACTCACCATCTTCGTCAGGTGGTCCCTTCTCCACTCAAAGCTGCTCCACTGAATGACCCTGGGGCCAGGCTGTGAGGACTGACACTGCAGCGATGTGAATCTGTCTGTTCCAATCCTATCACCTGGCTTCTGACTCTCAGACACTGCATCCTTATCACACACCCTGGGCACTTCTCCCTCGTTCTGTCTTGTCTCTTCCTCTGCATTCTCACAGCACGCAGAGCATACTAGCATCTTTTCCATAGTGGAACACTCCAAAGTTATTCGCCCCCAACTCTATCGCCCCTTCAATATTGATTTCACAGTATATTTACCCGCCTTATTTGGCTGTGTAGCCCCCAGTACAAGTGTTCAATAATTGTTTGCCAAATGACTAAAAACAGCCTATTCCCTAAGTAGAAGGGATCACCCTGCCTCCTATATACATGTGCAATCCTATTTGCTGTTTAGAATGTCACTCAAATGCCACCCTTCCTTAAGCACTCACTGTCCTACCCACCCTCTGCAGTGACTTCTGTAGTTGCCTATGGCAGCTGTTTCTGTTCAACACTAATAGCAGCATACATAGTTGAATTTGTGCTGCCAAGATGTCACCATGGTGGACAGTTTGGGGTCCCAACCAGGCCTGCAGCTTACTACCCCAAGACCCTGCCTTTTTTTATATATATATATAATAGATATTATATATATATATATATATATATATATATATATATATATATATATATATATATGCAAGGGCAAGAAGGAAGTCATCCTTTCTCTCTTCCTCCTGGTCTCTGCTCTGGAGTCGCCATGTGATCTGCCGGCAAGAAAGGGTACCAGCGGAAGGCATCCTCGATAAGATAAGTCTTTTAAAATATATAGATTTATGATAATTAAGACTGAGCTAGCAGATGAGAAATCCTAGTCATTGGCTAAGCAGCATTTGTACCTAATATAAGTCTGTGTGTGTTACTTGGGACCTTAACGTAGTGGCGGAACTTGGGCAGCCTGGCCGAATGCGCCCACGTGGAAGCAGGGCTCGGGCAGCTTGGCGGAAAGAACTATTGTTACATTGGGCCTTTAGAGACATCCAACAAATGCCCACAGCACTGGCATAGGTGAACTGCTGGTGATGCACTTTGATGGTCTGAGGATCTGTCATTCTCATCTTCATTTAACTTGCTCCCAGATTAGAGGAAGCAGTTTGCATCTTCCCGGACCTACCCCTGCAGACTACTGACACTATGACCAAGTACAGAGAGTGCTGCAGAGACACAGGGACCAACTTTCATCTACACCTGAGCTGCTTAGCCTCGATCTGCAAAAGCCAAGAAAACGGGTGTTCAGAAACCGTTATTTTTTCAAATAGAGAGTAAAATGCCAATAAGATCTGATTCTCTCTATTGCCAACAAATTCCCGGACTCTTTTCTCCTGTGTCATGCAGTCATCTTGGTAGGATACCAACGCATCTGTCTAACTTTTGGGAGAGCCCCTTGTCTTTTTCCAAGTATTTTGAAAGTGTGTTTCACTTCTCTGAACACAGCAATTCCACAAATGGACAGGGTCACCTGAGCACTACAGGGAGCTATGGAAAACCACCTAAATCCAGTACTAGGGTACTTAAAACTAAGTCAGAGTCCATCCCAGACAGAGTACCACATGACCACTAGTAGTACATTCTCCAAGGTTATCAGAGATGGGAGGAGATGTTCATGACTGCATGTTATATGACAAAAGCAGAGCATAGACCTATACATGCTGTGAGCTGATAGCAAACACACACACACACACACACACACACACACACACACACACACAAAATGTACTGCTGGGCTGGAGAGATGGAGAGATAGGTGGCTCTGTGCTTGCTACTCTTGCAAAGGACCCAGTTCCCAGAAGCTATGTTGTGCAGCTCACAACCACCTGTAGCCCCAGACCCAGAGAATCCAACATCCTCTTCTGATTTCTTTGGGCATCTGTGCCAGTGAGCACACACACATACCCATACGCACACATAATTAAAAATAAAATAAAATAACATCTGTTTTAAAGGATGTACTATAGAGCAGCTGGAGAGATTGCTCAGTGGTTAAGAACACTTGCTGCTCTTGCAAAGGACGTGGGTTTGGTTCATGGTATCCAACTGGTGGTTTACAACCATTCATAATTCCAGTTCTAGGGGGTCCAATGACCTCTCTGACCACTGCAGGCAAGATACTCATACATATAAAATAAATAAATCTAAAAAGAAAAACCTAAAAAACGTACTGCAGACAACTAAAAAGTAGTAAGGAGGCAGACACCCTGAAAACATGCAGTAATGTTCCTGGTTGGCTAGACTGTAAGCATCTATTTCATTCTTTTTATTTATGTTGCTTTTATTACTGGAAAAATAGACATTTAGAGATGCTAATAGTTTCATTTTGACTCATTCATTCTACATTCTCTACAAAGCCATGGGGAAAACAAGAATCCAGCCTTGGGGTCCCGCATCACTGTGCTCAGGGGAGTCAGTCCAACCCAAATAACTATGTTCCCAAGAGTCTGGAGACTTGTGTCAGCCTGTGGCAACATCCCTGAGTAGCCTCCTCTGTATTTCCCTGACCCTTCCTCAACAATCTTCCCAATTTCCAGGGAAGCACGTAGACCACAGACTTTGACTCTACTCTCTGTTTTCAAGAAGTCCAGCTCTGTGTATGATGATTGAAATGACCCAATAAATAAAGGTCAGAAACTTGCTGACAAGTCCAGCTGCCAGGTGCATAGCTAAACCTGCCAGCACAACGCTGGCAGGACTCCGAGAACATGAGTTGCAGCTAAGCAGTGTGGGCATCGGCATCTGGCCTCTGCCTCAGTTACACCTGGGGCGGGGTTAACACAGGCTGTAAAAGTGTGCTGGGCTCCTACAGGTATCACCATTCCCTGGGCTGTCTGCCTTCCCACTGCTCCCCAAGCCAGTCCTGGCTGTCTCTACAGAACAAAAGAGTAAAGGGGACTTTTGTCTGGGGTCCACCAGTCACAATGGGACAGAGGTCAAGGAAGACACATCAAGCACGCAGCGGAGAGGAACAGCTGAGTCTGAAGACCAGACTAGTTCTTGCTTTGGCATGTCACTCCCCTTGGCCCTTGCTTCATGTGGAAAAAAAAAAGGAACTATAGGTTCCTGGGATCTTTGTTTTGTTTTATTCTTTAAAGCAATGGACCTTCTTTTTCAAAATTAAGCTACAGTTGTGCAACACTTAACAACAGGGATACACTCTGAGCCCCGTCATCGGGTGATTTTGTTATGCAGAAGATATTATAGATTTTGTATAAAACTTAAATGTAAGAGGTACGGCACACTGCCTGCATGGTACATCCTATCAAATATACAATCCGTCATCCACCAGAACATTGTATGTGGCACTTGACCATACATAAGATATAGACAGATAAAATGAGAAGGACTCTGGCTAAGGGACTAAAGAGGAAACAAAACCCAACTTGTGCACTCTCCTTAGGAAGAACCTTCCAGTGCCCTTCCCAGGAACAAAGTCATCTGGAGTGGATGGACCAGAGATCCGTCCTTCCATAACCCTTCAACTCTCCGAGTCTGATGCAAACTTACCGGTCGATGGCAATGACCCCGAGGGTGAGCATGCTGGCCGAGCTGATCAGCAGGTAGAGAAGAGCAGAGAAGTTGCACCAGACCACGCCAAAGATCCATTCCCTCCGGATGCAGCTAGTTACCACAAACGGCAGCACCAGCACCGACAGCAGGAAGTTGGACAGGGTCAGGCTGAAGACGAACTTGTTGCTGAGGGTGAGGAGGTAGGACTTCTTGTACAAGGTGACGACAATGACCAAGTTGCCCAGGCAGACGAATACGGTGATGATGATGATGGCAATGAACTCAGTGACCACACCCCCTTCACCACCCTCCGTTGCAGTGAGATTGCTCAGCTCCTTCCTGTAGTGGGGGGAGGAGTTGAGGCTCATGGTCAGTGCACCTCGGGATGCGGTGAGCAGAGCATGCTGGGCGGCTGCAGAGAGAAGGCGGGACCAGGGGTGGGGGAGACTCATCAGATCACATCTCTTGCACTTTAGGAAAGATGAAGCCCAGCTTAGCAGGGCTAAGTCCGGTGCCTCATGTTCACCAACTGGAGTCTCTGAGACAGTCTCCCACGAAACCTCTACAACTTGTTTTTGTTTGTTTACATCCCACAGACCCTGTAATTGACTACTGTCTCTTACTACCTGTGGTAGCTTGGCTTTGGAATGTCTCCCAAAGATCCCTGTATCAAAGCCTTAATTCTTAGCTTGGCATTAGGAAGGGGGCTGGAGTGAAGCAGGTAGGATGTGAGGGCTGATGGGAGATGTTTAGTTCATTAGGATGTACACTTCAGAGAGGGTTACGGAACCCTGACTCTTCCTCTTTTGCTTACTGACTGTTAGGCGGGAAGCTGCTCTCCTCTACCATGAACTTACTGTGAGGTGCAGCTTGTCACATGCCCCTAACAATGGGCCAACTGCCCCCCATCTGGGCTCAAACCTCCAAAACTCTGAAGTAGGACACCACTCACCCCCCACCCCTTAAATTTTTCTCATGCGGTACTGGGCATCGAATACAGCATCCTGCATATACTAGGCAAGAAGTATCTACCACTGAGCTATATCCAGCCTGAACCTGCACTTTAAACAAGCAGCCAGAGGGACAGGTGGCTTGTCATAAGTATGCTCTGTGGGACATTTTGCAGACTGCTGCTGTGGGCCCTTGCTCCTCGGGTGGATTTTCAATTGGCAAAACAGGAGCCACAAGGGCTGCAGGCCACCTGCAGAATCAAAATCTATACTTTAACCCATATCCCAGCTTACTGCGGACACATTAAACTTGACCACAAGATTATCCTAATAACACGTGTGAGTTTCTGAGCAGGGCTAATAAATCAGGGTCAATGCTGTAACAGGGTGATCGCCCTCATTGGATATGGTGGAGGCAAGGAAGCAGGTAGGAATTGTGAGTGGGGACAGGAAGACACTGTATTGACCCACACAGACTTCACTGTCTAGTAAGTAAGGGTCCCTGCTCTCAGGAAACTGGCTTGAGATCTTGGCTAAAATTCAAGGTTGACACATTTTAAGCATAAAATATGCAGACTAATGTTTCTCCAGAACTTTTCATCTACTTTAATCAGAAAAAAAAAAAAGAATCCCACAGATCCATTTTCCTACCTGCTCTTATTGTCCATGAACAGAAAACACCAAAAAGAAAGGAACACAGCTTTCTGTGAGATACACAAGGTCCCCGTGACTAAATCGCTCCAAGATGGTCCCCAAACCTTCCTAAGGGACCTGCCATTCTGCCACCCTATTGGGCTTATGTAAGCATGAGGTCAACTTATCCTACGCAGAGTTTATAGCATAGGAAATGCTGTGAAGGCAGGTGTCTCCAGTCTTGAACATATGGAATTACTGTTTCTAAAGCCAAGTACAAACATTACTTCTACTAAAGCTTGCAATGTGCATGTCATCCCATATTTCCAAGCTGCTTAAATATTCTCTAAATCTTGATGCAGTTTCCCAGTGTCTTAGTTCCCCAGCATCACCATGTCATGAAGATGCTTTGTTGGTGGGTCAACTGAAGGTATGTTTCTTTGCAAGGTTCTTTCTGGTTTTCACCTTCAGTTGCCAAGTTCTAGATTTTGCTGCCTCTACGTAAATTATTAGTTGGAATCTCAAAACAAAGCCTTCATACAAGAATATCATTCTTGAGCCAGCTGCAATAGCTATAAGGTGATGGTGAAGAAAACAGACTTAAGACAGGCGGTGGTGGTCACACCTTTTATCCTAGCACTCGGGAGGCAGAGACAGGCGGGTCGCAGTGAGTTCAAGACTAGCTTAGTTGCCAAGTTCTAGATTTTGCTGCCTCTACGTAAATTATTAGTTGGAATCTCAAAACAAAGCCTTCATACAAGAATATCATTCTTGAGCCAGCTGCAATAGCTATAAGGTGATGGTGAAGAAAACAGACTTAAGACAGGCGGTGGTGGTCACACCTTTTATCCTAGCACTCGGGAGGCAGAGACAGGCGGGTCGCAGTGAGTTCAAGACTAGCTTTGGTCTACAGAGTGAGTTCCAGGACAGCCAGGACTACAGAGAGAAACACTGTCTCAAAAAAAACAAAAAAGAAAAGAAAAGAAAACAGACTTGGTACCAGGCATGGCAGTGCACACCTTTAATCCCAGCATTTAGAGGTAGAAGTAGGAGGATCTCTGTGAGTTTGAGGCCAGCCTGGTCTACATAGAAAGTTCCAAGCTAGCCAGGGCTCCATAGTGAGACCACCATTAATTTTTTTTTTCTTCTGGGCTAAATGAATACAGAAGCCCTTAAAAATGTGACTGGAGTGAAAAATATTACAAATGAGTATGTCCTCAGGACAGAGACTTTGGTTACATGTCGCTAGCACCTGCTCAGGCCCCTGTTACACACTTTGTTGGAGAATGACTTTAACACTTTGTGAGAGAGTTAACATCATAAAGGCAGCCCCTGAGAGAATAAAAACAGATGCAACGGAGACCAAGGGAGTCTCCACTGGTCCTGTTAGCAAGCCTGCCAATGACTGCAAAACGAGGGAGCTGCAGCTGGCAAGGGTTCTTGAGATCTCCCAGTCCAACCCTACCAGGGAGGGAGCCGAGGAATGTGGGCCAAAGAGGTGCCCACCCAGGAAATCCAGATCCTAGTCTCTGCCAGTAGGTCTTCAGTGGGCAGGCACAAGCCCCAGCAGATTCCTCCCACTGGAGCTTTAAAGAACCAGAGGATTTGGAAGGCCCCAGCCATCGCAGGCCTTCTGGCTGACAGCCAGCTTACCCCGGGGCCTGACAAGCCAGGGCCCATTGAATGGCAGCGAATTCCAGTGCGACTCACGTCTCTATGCTCCTGAGCACCCTCCACTGCCAGGCACAAAGGTGTTTCTGAGCTCGCACAACAAGCTGACCAACAACCCAGTGCTCCTGATGCACAGCTAGACAGGAACACGGGTGGAGTGTCAATGCACGATCAGAACCGTCCCTGAAGGAGTTAAAGTCCCAGGAGGGCTGGCAGCTACGTTCCTGTACCTTTACCTTTAAGGCCACAGATGCAAGGGTAGCCGCCCCTCTCCGGGAACCACCTTCAGTCTAGCCATCCATCTAGAAAGATAGTAAAGCATCAGCTGCCTCAGGCCACTAGCAATAGCCTCAAGTCATCCAAAGCCAAACCTTGTCACTAAAGACAGCAATCGATATCCTTTTTTTTTTTTTTTTTTTTTTTTTTTTAAATTAAAACACAAGGCAGTGCTGGAGAGTCCAGAGACGATATCTGTGAATTGCACAAACTAGTTTGTGTGAGGGTTCCAGTACAAACAATTCGAGGCTGGAGCCACAAGGGCAGAATTACCATTCTCTTCCATGACTCCAAATTTGGATATTTTGTGAGCCTGTGTCACGTTCTTCCCTAGAATTCTGGTTATGGATGGTTTGTACTACATCTCCTACTCCATTGCTGCCTGAGTCTTGGAGGACAACAGGGGCTTAGGGGCTGAGACCACATACAGACTTCAACACCAGACCATCGGGGTAGGTAAAACCTAGCCTTTTGACTTTATATCCACAACTACGGACAAATCCATTGACTTCCATTTCCTTGCCAATGGAAATGGCTTTTATATTCTACACAGAGGAATTGTGAGGATGGAGTTGTGTCCAGCACCTAAAACATCTGGCACAAGACTGCCTTTGCCACAGGAGTTAGACCTCATTCTACTTTGGAAACTTATTTTCTCATTAGGGCAAATCCAACATCCCCTCCAGCTCCTACTCACAGCCACTGGTCTGGGGATGACAGAACTCCAGGCTTAGGACTTTGGCTGAGAGTGTTAGAGGACAAACTAGCCAACCAAGGGGCTCTATTGTCTGGCACAACAAGAGCATCACATCAGCTGCTCACCACTGACACTGTGTAGGAAAGGCTTACCAGGAAGCAAAGCTGAGAGAGTGAGAGTGAGAGCGAGAGGTGTGGTGGTCTGGGAAGAGAAAGGGAGAAGATACAGGTTAACCCATCCACAAATGCTCATGGAAGAGCGTGTGATTCTAAAATCTCGCTTTTCTCAATTACATACACAGGCTGTCCCTGCCCCCTACTTATGCTAATTTCCGTAAGTATCTGTCACTTGAAACTCAGCCCTGACTAATTTCCTAAAACATCATGATCTGCATTCAACATGTCAAGTCTACCTCTTTTGCCAAGTTTACTCCAACTCCTCAGACACGGCTCTGCTACCTCAGCTTCCTTCTATAAACTTCCTTCTCTTTCTCTTCTTGGACCCATGGATTGTCCTTGCATGAAAGTGTGGGAAGCTGTTCATCTCCAGAGAGGGGTATCTATAGGGTCAGAAGATTCATGTCACCTTCCACATGCACTGTGAGGCAAAGGTGACTTCCATGCTGGTTAGTGTGTTGTCAACTTGACAGAAGCTGGAATCATTTGGGAAGATGGGACCTCAGCTGAGGAGATGTCTTCACCAGGGTGGCCTGTGGGGAAGGCTATGAGGCATTTTCTTGATTAATGACTGATGTGGGAGGGCCTAGCCCACTGGAGGTGGTGCCACCATGGGCAGGTGGTCCTGGGTGATATAAGCAAGTAGGCTGAGTAAGCTATGAGAAGCAGGCCAGTAAGCAGTGTTACTCCATGGCCTCTGCTTCAGTTCCTGCCTCCAGGTTCCTTTCCTACTTGAGTTCCTGCCCTGACTTCTCACAGTGATGGACTGTTACTTCCCCAAGTTACTTTTGGTCATGGTAATTTATCACAGCAACAGAAACCCTAAAACAATTCCCTACTTCCAGATAGGACCAGCAAAGGACAGCCACAGAGACTACAAACAAAAGGTGAGCACTGTGAGGATGGAAAAGGCAGGGCTCCTAATACTCTCTAACAATGGGACACTAGACAGGACAAGACGGTGGCTGTCTGCTCTGGAGTTTAGCTGTAGAGAAAATAAATTCATTTT